TTGTCGCTCAAGCTGCCGCTCAGGCCGCCTCCCATGGCGGAGAGTTTTCTACCAGCAGCTTTCGTTTACACCACAATGGGCCTCTTCCCCTCGAAAATATGATAGGGACGGCGGAGCCATCTGATCTCGATCGTGCTATATTCCCAATCACGAATAACCCAATCACCAATATCTTTTCTCCTTTCACAGAACCACCGTACATTTACCCACCTGAATTAAATGGTGGTGTGATGTACCATGAACCAGAACAAATGTACCATGAACCAGAGCAATTAGATCCATATGTCACTGCGGAATCGGGACATCCACCAATGGGATTGAATGCCTTCTCTGATGGAAGCACCACACGACAGCTCTCAACAGCCCCTGTTTCATCTCTGGCGATCCCTCATTCCTTTTCGACTATTCTTACTTTTAGGCCACATGAAAGTGGTGATAACCAAGCCTTAGGCCACAGCAATGCGGCGACATCTTCCATTACACAGTCTCTCGACGAGGACTCCTCATCATCTCAAAGTACATCATCCTCACCTCCCCCACCCGGCTCATCTTTTTTGAAGTCCCCACCACCTCCCACAGATCTAGTCGCCAGGCGGAAGAAGGTTCACAAGAAACCGGCCGCATTGAGAACCGGAGGTAGGCCACAAATAGGACCGAAGACCATATCGAATGTAGATGGATTCCTTCGTCAAGTTGGAAGCCCTCTAAATGCACCAATGCGCAGGATTGTCTCGGCAGGGGGTAATTCCAATCGAAATGTCCTCACTGGTCGTATTCAAAAGGCTGGAATCGAGTCGGCGCAAAGGTCGCCTATCAACATGCAAGGGTTTGAAAATTTCATGGAACACAATTCCCACATGATGCGTAACCCTAGTATGACGGCCAGTTCATCTGTTACGAGTAGCTTGGCACCAGCAACTCCAATATCGCCTAGAGAAAGACAAATGTCATTGAAGAGGGAGAATACGTCTTCCCGCGAAGAGTTGAATTATTCGTTCAACTTGCACAACCATGGTCTTCCTACTTTCATAGATGCCAGTCAGACCAACGACCAAACACCCACACAGGCAATGCAAGACGCATTAGGACTTCAAGCAACATCCACTTCCGGTTGGCCCAATAACACTGAACCCTCCCAGGAGCAGCTTTGGGATATGGAACTTACAGATGCTCCTCTCTACTCGTCCAACCACGATTCTTTCGCGACAGAATCATCCATGCATCAAACTTCATACTCCAGTCAACCGGTCACACCCGCTTTTGGTAGTTTGACCCAGGGAGGTTTCCTCTCAGGTAATGGCCACGATTCTCCACAATTCATCAACAATCCAAGTCCATCGTACACATTGTCGAACCAGGGCGCATCTGCTGAGTACTCGTTTCCTCATGATGGATATCCACTCTTTCCCACTACTGCATTGGTCGGTAGTTCTCCAACGATGATGACGAAACCAAAGCAATATCAATTTTCCAACGTCACTCAGGCCGACTATTCAGAGAAATGAAGGGGAGGAGTGGATAAGTCTGCAGTGTTGTTTTGCGGGAGTTTTTTTTAATTTTACATCGAATGAACTCCATCCTCCATTGGCAAAGTCTACAGCAACTAAGTTCTCTGGGCCTCATGGCTGTGAACCGCGTTGACGAACTAAACCAAACGAAGGAGAGGAGTGAAGAAGTCTGCAGTGTTGTAAACCAAGTTCTCTGGGCCTCACGGCCGTGAACCTCATTCACTGACTCGACGAACTTCGATAAATATTTGCCGGCGTTGGGTTTGGACATTGGATGATACCAGACCTTTGATTGGGGAATTATTGATATCCACCATGGTAATGGTAACGCAGTTCAAATTAATAATGATGAACTCGCCATGTATTACATATTATATTAGCCGTCTTCATCGTTAGGGTGTTGGCATCATAAGCGTTTTTTCGGATTTCCGCAACTTTGTTTTGGGGGGGGGGGAGTTTTTTTCGGGGAGAGGGAGGAGTTTCTCTTTGCGAATTTAACTTGGTCGCCATATTGTTTGGTGACATAACATTCATTTAATTGATAATTTCTTAATGGCCCTGGCATGGTTCTCGTGTCGTTTTTTTTATTTATTTATTTATTTATTTGTCGTCTGTTCGGTCGTTCTTGTTTATGATATATAGGATTGGATAGGATGGTGGGATGGTGGGATAGGATGATGGGATGATGGGATGGTGGGATGGTGGGATGGTGGGATAGGATGATAGGATGGTGGGATGGTGGGATAGGATGGGATGGGATGGTGGGATGGTGGGAGAGGCTAGAGTTG